TTCGGGCAATTGAAAGACAGCGACAAAATGACAGGCTACACAAACACGTGCGCGTGGCACGAATTAATTAAAACACAGCAGGGTGAGACGCGGCGTCGCGTCGGCGCCAACTCACGGTGTTCCGTCCGTGATAAAGGACAGGGAAGCGTCGTTATTAATCCGCGTAAAATTAATGTCTGCTTATAATGAATTTCAACTTCGTTCCGGGAAAGCCACCGTAACGCGGAGGGCTACTCTGTCTCCCTTTCCCCTCCCTTCCTCTCTCTTTCTCTCTCGAAACGAACGCCCGAAATGCGAACACTGCATAAATTAAAGATACCTCAGTGCTGCCACGACTCGCAAGAAGTTTTAACGATAGCGCTTTTTTAGATGCGTTATTACGTCGCTGTTAGATAAGTCAGTATTAAAATAGAATGCAACGAGGTGCAGTTCTATCTTCCCCGTCGTCCTTTTATGCACTTCCTCCCTGCGCATATGTCCATTATGCAGAGCTATCGCGCTCTACGATATGGTCTCATTTCTAGGGGCTAGTATGTTATAACACGCATATTCATCGGGATCTTGTTAAAAATTCTACAATCTCATTTTTTGACATGAAATATGATAAGAATATGGGACTTTGAGTCTCATGATTACGCGGGTTTGTTAGAAAATTTGATAACGAATTCCGATCGGCAAAGTCCGTATAATTAACGTGAGATTTCGCGCGCTTCAAAATGAAGATAATATTATTAGATGGCACAATAGTAATAAAACAATCAAAGTTTTTATTTTTTACGAAAGATTTGTGAAAAAACAGAATAAACATATCTGTCATGTTTTCTGCATTCTTGTATTTCGCTTTTAATAGTTTTAGAAATAGTTTGTGGAAAGGATAACAAGTTATACAGCGAAATTAGCTTGTCATCTTTAGAAATAGCACTCTCCGCATTGTCTGGCACAAGAACAACATAACCCACGCTAACACGGTAATACATAGCACGAGAAGGGTGTCTCTTAATGTCGTTTAGAGCAAGAACAAGGTAGTTTCGGGGTTACACTGACTGATAAAGTGGCATTGTCGTGTAAAGTCCCTAATCCATGTGAGATTGTATATGTTGCATAAAGAAATTCTTAATGAAGATTAAGATTTATGATGAGTCGTAAAAAGCAAAAAATATGTAACATATTATTTATTTAAGAAAAAAATGGAATATCGGCAAAATTAATTTTTAGTGAATTATTTAACGAGTTTTCTAATTAAAATTTTTTTGTTTATTATCTACATTATTATCTGCATTAATATTTTGATCGTATAAAATATTGTTATATCCTTAAAATCTTTCTTATAAAGAAAGATTTATAAAGAGGAAGTTCAATCCATAATTTGTTTGTTACAAGTTGCATGACACCATGTGATGTATTATTATCACAAGAAAGACTAGACTATCGATTGTTCAAAATTCTCGATGCAAATTTTAGCACAACCGTTAAGTCATCGTCAGACGGAGAGCATGCGATATTCGTGATCGTCTCGAACTTAGACTTTCGTGAAGAGGCGACGACTCTGGCGACTCTATGCAAAGCTGAATCCCGGTGCAATTAATTCTCGGGCCAAATCGAAGCACGATCCTCTTGATATAATCGTGTTCTCTCGGCCGACATCACGAGCAAAGGTGACTCGTCGAGAGGGAGAAGTCACTTATCTCACTTGAAGCCGATCGTCGAGACCGGAACACGTACCGGAAGGATGTTATTGTTAGAGAGGCGATGGACGTTCTGAAATGAGAGCCAGGGACGATCGGCAAGATTACGCAATATTAATGAATGCGTCGTCGCGTTTCTCGCAATCGAACTACGAATTAATCGGAGATTCACAAATTTTACGCTTGCCCGATGCGTCGACAATCGAGTCACTTTTCCTCTCAAACTGCGGATAATAGAGTAACGTTACATCGTTAACGCAAAACGCGTTCGTTATTCCCCGTTTGTTCGGTCGATCTGTCGCAATTGCGTCGACCTGTTAGATTTTAACGACTCCAATGACAATCACGTGGATGAATAATCCTACGCGCACACTTTGCTTCGCACAAATCGCCACTCAACGCTCGATGTCTTTACAAAGCATCAAATAAAGAAACATGTTTAGAAAAAATTATATAGCAAATAATTGTAAATAAATTTAAAAGGAAAATTAACTCAAGTTAATTTTATGTTAACTCAAGTTAATTAATTAATTTAAGTATATTTACACGAAATTTGAATTACGATAAGAAATTTACGGATAATTTAACTGTAGAATGATAAAAGAGATGAATTCCCAATGTTTTAGCTTCAGAAAATACGATGGAACAAAGGAGGGGAACATCGATTTTTGCTGTAATGCCCTAAAAACCACACACAATGTGTTACACTGGCGTGTTGTGGGCAGTGTTCTCTCTTATCTAATCCTCTTAGGGTGATCTCGAAACTCGGATTCGCCTTGGACCTACGTCACCCCTTAGCTTGCTTCTGACAGGGCATAACAATTTCCACCAGATGAACATTACCAGTTTACCAGTTTACTTTGTCAGGTATATGCAGAATCGAGAAGCAGACCAAAGTCCTTCTTCGTCTCTTCTCCCTTCTCCAATTACGAAAGCTTGTGAGGTTCCCGCAGAAAGTTTCGGTTTACTCGACGTTTCTCATGCGCGCGTCGCTGGTTAAACTGTTTAGACATGTCCTACGAACGGGCGAAAACTTCGAAGTGACGTTCGAATTTTGGTACTTACCATGTCAAGTAAAGACATCGGAAGCTCTGAAGGATCGACAGGTCAATGAAAGGATAGAAAGGAAAATATTACGGCGGGACGCGAGACGAGAAATGAAATTTACTTCGCCGTAATGTAAAATTAAAAAATATAAATATTTGATAATAATTGGTATGTTTATAAAATTGATAATAATTAAAAAAGTATATTGATCTTTGACGTTTTTATTTTTATCTTCGAGAGTGCATGATACTTAGATTTTTTAAAAAATTTTAAAGTTCAATATTTTGCAGTTTAATTTTAAAATTTAAATTTAATTATTAGTTTATAATTTAATATGCACATTTTCTGCCTTTGATTTGGCAAAGTAATCTCAAAGTAGCTTGTTGCCGCTAAGCTGCATTTCCATCGAAATTTACACGCATCAACTTTTTATCGTTAACTTAAGTATGGAATAAACTCGCTCATCTCTTTCACTGCTGCCATGCACGGAATATAGTCTCCACTTTATTCCACGGCGAATTAATATGTATACGAGATCTTCGTCTTACGAACTATCTACGGGTTACATTTACGAGTGCACGAGCGCAGAACGAGACAAGACCGGCGTCTGGAATGTTCTAGCCTCCACATTTAATCTGGTACTGAAAATTTCACCTCATCTCTGCCTAGGAATTCTGGCTCTTAACCTTTTTGCTCTTTACGTCCATTTCTGTCCTTCTGACAGCGACGACGACAACGTCGACGACGACACCGACAACGACAACGGCAATGACGACAAAGTTAGATACCTCGACCTCTACTAGTTGTTACATGCAGATAGTTTGCTACGATAAAAAAAATATAAGAGACTATCTATGTAGTCTCTATCTATCTGTATGTTGCTCGGCAATTTCTTTTTAGTTTTATCTGCCGAGAATAAAAACGCGTCAGATTGAAATTATTAAAATTTTTAAAGAGTAATGAACTTAGTTTGACAACTTAGTTTGACGTGAAAATATTGATTTTGCTTGTATAAAAATATTCAAGTCATAATTTTAGATATGAGTTAACAATAAACTGAGTTATGTAAAATAGGAAAAAAAATATTCATATATTTATATAAATATAACATTTAAAAATAATTTTTTTTGGAATAAAGTAAATATAAATAAATATTTATCTTTTATGAAACAATTTCTTGGAACAATACATATATTACTTGATATCATATAAAAATATTTCTCTTTTCCAGTTATATAAATTTTTATTACCATTTCATACATTCAATAAAAATCATTGGTTTTTGGCTCAGGAAGTCTATCAAGAGAGAGAAAGAGAGAAAAAACAGATGAACGGAGATATATATGGGGAATAAAATCATGAAGAACTTCCTAACAGAGTCTATCTTCCATTATTTGAGCATCTAGCACGATCTACTTCCAATTCTTTGGATCATCCAATCGCGGCACAATTTTCCAAGCTTTGCCGACCCTCGTCACTATTGAAAGCTCAAGCCGAAGGTCGGCGCGATATTTCTCTGCAAAAAGATCCGCGGTAGGTCGAGTAACCATAGTATCGTTTTTTTTTAATACGTCTATTGTGCGCTTGGCACTGGGTCAAGAGATTTACCGATTTAGGCGTGAAAGAAAGTCTCGCATTTGAAAACGTTCTCTATTCAAGTCGTGCTACATATCGGTAGCGAGTAGTATTGAAGTACTACTTGTTCGGGAGTTTCTGATCAAACTTGATCTAACAACCAAACTTTTGCAACAGTTCTTTCATCCATTCTCTCAGAATCTTAGGAACTTAGAGCCATAAATTAATTTAAAAGATTCCTTTATAAAAAAAAGGATGCGTTATAATTAATTATAAGTTTGAAAGAATATAGTTCAAGATATTTTGATTTAGATAAATCTTTACATTTGAGTTTGATTATCAAAATTAATAACGAAATTTTACAATAAAATTACAGAAAATAATAAAACAATAAAAGGATTTTGTAATTATTTTGTAAATTTTGTAAATAAATAAAATTTTGCGCATTAGAAAAAAGGAGTTGCCCGTTAAAAATAGACTTATATGTAAAGATATTCATAATCATTTCTGCTGACAAAAAAAAACATCTTTTTCGTTCTTTTATTATCCGCAATATAATCGAACACTCGTGGAATCGTTGTCTCGCATTTCCGGCGACATCGCATCGATAGCACCCCCAGGCGACGACGTATATACTCGCAATTGACATTTATGCGATCTCACGCGAGTTCCCTCTCTCTTTTTCTGTTTCAGTCGCTGCTCTGAGGCTACTCCACATAAATGTCCCGGCGTACACCCTCAGGGGTAGGAGCGCGCTTCTGGAATGCAGGTGAGAATATTGCCATAAGCTACACGAACGTCAACTGCTTTCTGTGTGCACAAAATAATCGTAGTGTCGACAGTTGTGTGTAACTCTGTCAGATTATTGTGCGGTTTTATCTTATAAATCAAGATTTTGTTCTATAATAATTACTATTTTGAAAAGGAAATGGCCTCGATATTTGGGAATTTTTTTTTCTTTTCCTAATATCGACAGACATATTGGCAGATGTTCGTATTCATAAAACTTTTGTCGTATGCAAATTCCATGATTAATTAATGTGTGACCAAATTTTGTAATAGAACGTAAGTCGACTTGATGAGTATATTTAAGAATTTGATTTATAATCGATAGTTTAAAATAGAAATCTTACTTGTCTTCTCACCATTTCTTCTCTCTGAATTCAACCTTCTTGCTTCCAAAAATATCCGATGTCTTTCACTATATGTCGAATGCATGTCGCATAAATGTCTTGAAACTCTATTCTTCTAAAGGAAAGATGTACTAAACATTCTATATTAAAATACTGTAATTCGTGCATTACTGTTTTCGTGCTTTATGCCATTTAGAATCTCTTTAATTTAATAATTCTAAACTGTATCCTTAACTAATCTTACAATCTCATGTTATATTCGAATTGACAAATTAACAACTTTAGAACTTTAAATTTATTTAATTTCTCATATATATATATATATATATATATATATATATAATAATTTAGTTCATATTTGACATAATTACTATTAATTAGTTTAAAGAAATTTTTTAAGAAGTATTTTTTAAGAAGTATTAAATAATGAAAATATTATAGAGAATTTTATCATGAAAAATTTTGTTTGCCTTTGTTCATAAAGCATGATGGAGTTAAACAGGTGCGCATCGCCACTATGCGATCTGCAATTTATCGATCGATATATACTTTTATTTTATATATGCAAGAGAGATAATACATACCTCATTGAAACAAGACGCTACTTTACCCTCATTATATAATTTCTGCATTCCTCTTCTCAGCATACCTATTACTTTCCTTTCGTTCCGGCACATCCTCCCTCATTATTTCTCTCCAATTACAACATCCGATTTTACGACGTACCTAACAAAATCTCGTTTGGTAAATTCCGCTAAAAATCTTTAATATTTTTCTTCAAACGTTATATTTAAGATTGCTAAAAGCAAACTGAGAAAAAATTCTTTTTGATGTATGAATGTAAGAGATTTCTGTTAAAATGAAAAAAAAGAAAGAAACAAAGGAAACCAACGTTGTATTCAATATATCAACGAACATATAGAATAGAAAAACATTTTTTTAATATAAAAATATTTTTTTGTTTGGTATATTAAATTATATATTAAATAATTTTTATATTAACTATTTATATTCATTATTTTCAACATTAAAATCGATAAAGGATAACGTTAACAACAAGGCAAAAAATAAATATTGCATAAGGCATTAAGGACCTCCTTTCAGTTGATCGGCAATTTGCGCCCGTCATGATTACGTTAGCCCTGCATTCCATAATTGAATTGATTTATTCCATTAATCAAGTTATGCTTACGTAAAGAGGACTTCGAGGGGTTAATTTGATCAGTTTTCGAATGACCGGCTTGTAGTACGATCCCTTGCAATAGCACGTTTCTGCCGTGGTATAACAACGATAAATGATCGGTTCGGTGGCGCAGGACTCGCTAAATAATTCGTCGGGGTATATGGACCGCACAATAAAACCGAAATATCGCGGCATAATCACTAATGTATACCAACCCGGGTTCCAAGCCAACGGGCGTGAATTCTCTATATGTATGCACAGCACGCAGGGAACGCGGTGCGCGGCGAAATCGCCGTTCGTTCGTTACAACGCAAATGGTGGATCGTAATGAAGGACTAGACCTCCCAGCGGATAGTAGATTTTACACGTGCGCCGAAAGCGAAAAACTATATACATCGTTGTTGCATCGACAGTGCGCGGATACGGGGCGCGTGCAAATTCCATTTCCATTTGGAATTATTAAGACCGCGAGCGGTAGTGGTAATGTAGAGAGGAAGATACGTAGCGAGAAGATCGAACGAAAAATAGAAGAGAAGAACCGGCGGGATAAACCCAGCGGGAAATGCATCCGCAGAGGAGACAATACAGAAGACGGGGCCGTTTCTCACATTTATCCCGCGAAGGTAAATCGTGTAAGCGGAACTCATAAAGGCATCGGTAAGAAGCGAGGCAATAAAGTACGTATCGAGTTTGCGGTTAACGTTAAAGGAAAACGATAAATAAAATTACAAATAAAACTGGGCTGTGGAAGAGGGAGGGGGCGGACGGACGGACGGGCATGGAGATGGGAGGGTGGTTGGTTGCGAGATGCAAGTCGGATCGAACAACGAAGAAATCTCGATACTTTTCGAGTCTCTTCGTAGTTTATTTATTTACTCACCAGCGCGGAGATAGGTCCGTGCGGGAAAACTTCTCGCCTTTTCTCCTGCTACGTCTTTCTCCTTTCTCGTCCACGACTTTTCCTCTCCTGCCGGAAAAAGATGCCCCTCGACCCCTAACTCGACCGTGAGACTCGTAACTCTCGCGAGATTTCTCCGCGTAAGTTCTTCATGGACGTTCTGGACGACTGCCGCGCGATCGTTTTCTCTAATCTTCCGATCGGAATTCCATCGCCGACATTGATGGCTGCTGTTGCTGCTGCTGTCGCCGCTGTCGCTGCTACTGTGGCGACGGATCGAGCCGTCGAGAGAAAGAAAAAAAAAGGGAAGAACGAAGACGCGGAAAGCGAAAGAAACAGCGAGCCGTTAGTCAGCAAAACTCGTTTCACCTAAACGATCCGTCATCGAATATAGACGGAGGGAGGAAGAAAGGAAAGTACCAGGCAGAACCGAAGAAAGAAGAGAAAGAGAAAAGTGATCACCTAATGCAGAAATAGAACACCTTGAAAGTCCACCAAAGGCCATGGATTTTCCATCCCTTCGCGTGCGCCCGGAATATACGTGACAGATCGATCAGCCCTTCGCAGTATTTGCGACGCGAATGCGATAGTCCGAACGTGTGACTCATACGGATCGTGTAATTCGAAGGTTGATTCGTGGCCAATTCGCTTATTATCTTCAACGACAATGAATCGCAACAATAAATAAATTTGCGGAAGATCGGACAAATAACAAAATTTTTTAATTTTATTTTGAAGATGTTAATGTATATCTGTTTGTATATTAAACAGCATGATTTTTGTCTTTTTTACCTCTTATTTTATTTTTTAATTTAATTATTATTCAATCCTCGTTTTTTATTATGTTTTTTAGTTATTCAAATTTTTACTCGATTAATATACCTGAATGCGTTAATTAAATTAATGACTTTCATAGTCGGCTCGGCAGAGTAATTAAATAGATAACAATAAAGGATTATTATAGGGTTATTACAAAATAATAGTGGACGATTATCGCCATTCATTCAATCGGGATCAAGATTTTCAACTGACTGCCTACTGTCGATTTACAAGCCTGCGATCCATCTGCTCCAATACATTCTCACCCTTTCTCGACTCTTGGGTCGGGACCACCCCGGTTACCCATGCCATTCGCTAGATGGATGGTAATTGCATACCCTAAGTTATCACGGAATCGAAGTTTCTTCCGGTAGGAAACGACAAGCTTCACGGAATCTCTATTAGGGAGGCTCGATCGAAGTGCCGCGTGGACGTGTACTACGTATATAGTGTTTGGTTTGTGTAAGAGTCGTGTAGTCATCATGTTTAGCTTACACACGAACGTTCACTCTCACATAACCGCAGAATCACCTCGAGCGGAGGATAATTAAAGCGTAATTATATACTTTGGCGAGCAGGGGAACGGAGGATGGGTGTAATGACGTTTAGTCGACACGTCGTAGATCTAAACGTCGTAATTGATGCGGTACTTAATGATCATTACCAGGAATATGATCAGTGCGAGATGTTACTTGGGCTTGTCTCTTGATCTTGAAATATATTATAAAAATATTTCTTGCATTTAATATAACAAAAGAGAGTATAGTAGATAAAATGAGTAGATAAAATATTACTTTCTATGTTTTGTCTAAAAAATCTAAAAAAAAATTTATCATAGTATTATTCATATTACGCTAAAATAGCCATTTTTTTTAATAATAACGATAAATAAAAGCATATATATTTATATTGCATTGCGTACTGCTTTAACTTGTAGTAAAAATTACTTTCGTTTATTTTACATACAACTATTTTTGTTTATTTTACATACAATTATAAAAATATGAACATGAAAAAATAAAATTTACAGTTTTTATCTATTATTTAAAATAAATGGGAAAAAATTAAACTACTATTTTAATGAAAATTTTTAATATTACGATTATAAAAGAATTGGTATAGAGTAGCAATTTTGAACAAATTTTTTTCAGATTAATTTTATAAAGTACAAAATTAAAAATTGTCATTTTTTTTAATAGAAAGAATATTGACTGCAAAATATCCATATTTCTCGCGTACTGCACGAAGTTTATTCAAAAAAACGACAGGTCTTTATTCTGACAAACTGACACAAAAGATATTGTTATTCAAAAATGTCTCTTGTTCAAAACTAGCTCTCTTCTCTCTCCCATTTTACGTCGAGAGAAATTATCTCGACGTACATATCCATAATAACGAGATTTCAACAAATTATATTCATAGACTCGATTCTATGCAAGATACGATTACCGTCGCTTTTGACCTTAAATCTAATGCCAAGATATACATCGTTGAAGCAGCTCCATAAATTCGGCGTCTCGAGGTCTGCCGTGCGTCGCAAGGAGCGAAACGCATGAAGAGCGATGAGCTTGCCCGAAACTCGGCAAACCGTCCGGTAACACGTCGATTCGATGACCGAGCCGTGAGTTATTGGATTTCAAAGTTCGGAAGTAAAATTCGTCACATCGACCGCCGGCGAATCGGCGACGGCAGTGTACGCGCGGCACGTACCGTCGAATTGACTATTGCACTTTGAA